AGATTTGACAGCTCCTTAGAACTCTTCCAGTAACTAGGGGCCCACAGTCTCTCATCTTTGACTCTTCACAGCCTTCCATGATCATCATGGCCTTGTGCCTCCTCTTGCCTCCTCCTGCCAACCTTCTTCAGATCAGGACAACGCCTCTGCTTCCTGGAGCTCTAGATCCCATTACTTTCTGGAACACTTTAGCTGCCTACTCACTGTGACAGCTGCTGCCTCCACTAACAACACTGTCTCCTCTCAGTCCATGATAAAGATCCCAAGTAGGCAAGGAAAGACCACTTGGGAGAAGTCTTTTATCAGGCCTAATATTGCAATGCCAAGGGGCATCACAAGAAGGTATCTCCCAGATGACTTGAGTGAAAAGTGAGTTGCAGAGCCTGCTTGGGTAGCCAGGAAAGGATTCTGGCTAGTGTAGTTTGCACCAATCACAGCCCTTTATGCAAAAAAGGGTTGTTTGGACCAATCACAAACCTCCCACTGGACAGCCTCAGGACTATGGCCTGGCTGTTTCATGCAGATTTGTGATGGCAGAAAGACAAGCACCAGGGCTGGGAAGGTGGCTCAGTGGTAGAGCGCTTGCCTTGCATGCATGAGGCCCTGGATTTGATTCCCTAGCACCACGTAAATAAAAAGAAAAAAGCCGGAAATGCCACTGTGGCTCAAGTGGTAGAGCAGAGCGCTAGCCTTGAGCTGGAGAGCTGAGGGACAGCACGCAGGCCACACAACCAGACCAAAAAAAACCCAACCAGGTTATTTGAAATAGTCATAGCTGGAATATTGCCTTCTGGACCTGGAGTTGTGCTTCAGCAGCAAGTAGCTATGTTTGTAAGGCATCCATGAGTATTTATGGCAGTTAGGTTGTTGTAAGGGCAGTCCAGTTAACTGCCAAAGAGAGGCTGCTTGGATGCCAGTCCTCCAAGCCAGGTACCAGGGAAGGGCTTAATAACTATTAATTATGGAATCAAATTGCCCCAGCCATTGATATCTTAGTTAAAGGAAGAACAAAGATTAAAAAGGATATTTACAATCAAGGCCCAGGCCCATTATTATTGCTAACAGTGCTTTTTTTTTTAGTCAGTCATGGGGCTTGAACTCTGGGCCTGGGCACTGTCCCTGAGCTCTTCAGCTTAAGGCTAGCACTCTACCACTTGAGCCACAGCGCCACTTCCAGTTTTCTGATGGTTTATTGGAGATAAGAGTCTCACGGACTTTCCTACCCGGGCTGGCTTTGAACTGCAATCCTCAGATCTCAGCCTCCTGAGTAGCTAGAATTACAGGCGTGAGCTACTGGCAGCACCCAGCACTAACAGTGCTTTAAGAGTATTTAACTTCTGGCCAAATACTCCTGGGAGAGTTGGGTTGTCTTATTTATTTTCCACTTTTAAACCAAACTGATGTTCAGGTTATAAACCTGGTGATCACACACAGTGATCATCTGGGTGTGTCCTTCCATCCTTCCTAGAAGTGAGTTACACTGTGGAGAGGGGCACATGTATGTGGGGTCTCACCTGTAATTGGACTGCCAATGGTCCCAGCCAAATGAAGCCAAGTAGGACTTCATTTCCTCCTCCCTTTGGGTCACCTTTCTGCAGCAAAGCCACTGAGCCTCCTCTTCTCTATGCTTAAAATGTAAAGATGGGGGGGATGGGAAGGTGGCTCAGGGGTAGAGCACTGCCTTGCATGCCTGAGGCCCTGAGTTCGATTCCTCAGCACCACATAAGCAGGGGGAAAAAAAGCCGGAAGTGGCATTGTGGCTCAAGTGGTAGAGCGCTAGCCTTGAGCTGAAGAGCTGAGGGACAGCGTCCAGGCCCAGAGTTCAGGCCCACGGCTAAAGACAGAAGAAATGGCAGCCTGATCTGGTATTCTGTCATTAAAAATGAGCAATGAGATGAGTAAGCAAGTGAGATGTTTCTGTAGTTGTGTACCTATATCCTCAAAAGACTAAAAAAGTGTCCTTAGCCAGCTGCTGGTGGCTCACACCTGTCATCCTAGCTACTCAGGAGGCTGAGATCTGAGGTCACAGTTCAAAGCCAGCTAGACAGAAAAGTCTTTGAGACTCTTATCTCCAATTAACTACCAAAAAGCTAGAAGTGAAGGAGCAATTCAAGTGAGAGAGCACCAGCATTGAGGAAAAAAAAAAATCAAGTGTGAGGGTGAAGCCCTGAGTTCAAGCCCCAGTGCCAGTGTGCATGTGTGCATGCATGCATGCATGCATGCATGTGCATGCGCACACACACAGATGCACACAGACACGGCTTATGTGTGTTCATATCCCTGGTGTCATAACAAACACTAATTCTCCCTATGAGGTTGATCATCAAGTAGCTTACACAAAGAGAACCCCAAGGAACTCAAGAAGCAAAAGTCACTAGATTCATGAGGTCCCCAGTGTACCCCACAAGGGACTGTGGGTGACACAAGTCAAGGACACCTCTCTTCAGTAATAGCTCTACCTTCTTTTGGAACATGAAGTGAAAGTTGAGAGATCTCAGTTGTTGCTGGGTTACTTTTCGAGAGCTCATGTTTACTTGGGCAGCCTGCCAGTCACTAAACACCATATCTCTTTGTAATTGTAAACTATTTTGTCTTATGATTTTTTTTCAACAATTCTACCTTGAGTTCTTTCAAAACTCTTGGGTAGAAGTCACCTGACTACATAACTCAGCGTCATCAACACCACATCCTATAGTCATTGGCGCTTGTGGGATCAGTAATCTCATTACTTAGAATCCATTTTATTTTTTTGCCAGTCATGGGGCCTGGGTGCTGTCCCTCAGTTCTTCAGCTCAAGACTAGCGCTCTACCAGTTGAGCCACAGTGCTACTTCCGGCTTTTTCTGCTTTTTTTTTTTTGGGGTCCGGTCGTGGGGCCTGAACTCTGGGCCTGGGTCTAGGCCCAGAGTTCAGGCCCTATGACTGACAAAAATAAATAAAATGAATAAATAAAATAAAAATAGCCGGGCACCTGAGCTGGTGGCTCATGCCTGTAATCCTAGCTACTCAGGAAGCCAAGATCTGAGGATCACAGTTCAAAGCCAGCCCCGGTAGGAAAGTCTGTGAGGTTCATATCTCCAATAAACCACTAGAAAACTGGAAGTGGCCCTGTGGCTCAAATGGTAGAGCACTAGCTTTGAGCTGAAGAGCACAGGGACAGTGCCCAAGCCCAGAGTTCAACCCCACGCCTGACAAAATAAATAAATAAATAAATAATAAAAATAAAAAGTTAATGGAAAGCACCCAGGTACACACACGCACATATGTGCGCATAAACGCGTGCACACACACACACACATATGTGCACACACACATACAGCCCAGCCACTTACAAACTGTAGGGTTTCATAGGGGAGGACAAGAGGGTTACCGGAAGGGCCTAAAAGAGGGGGCTGACTGCCCAGGTGATGGAAAGGAGGAAGGGGAAGAGGGTTCGGCCCTAGGGGAGGGACTGCTGGGGAGGGTGGGGTATCTAAAGATGTATCTTGTGGTTGATTGGGGCACAGGATGTTATTTGTGGTTGGGCTAGGTGTTAGTCTAAGTGACAGCCTAAGGGGGTGATGAGGTGAGGATTTGTGTGTATGTGCTTTGAGCTGATGCCAAGCAAAGTTCTGTGGCTAAGCAAACAATGGAGGACAACAGGAAGAGAAGTAGCTACAACACAGTCAACTTCCTGGGTTTTAAACAATGTGTATATAATATGTTATACATAGTTATATTTCTGTATATTATAATGTGAATATAATATATGTTAAGCAATGTTACATATACACATATATGTATGAAAACATACAGGAAAAGGATAAATTAAAGCCATTGTGTTACAATGGAAAGATAACAGTGATTATTTTTCTCCATTTTGCAAATTTCCTTTAATGATACTGTAATTGCTTTACAGTTTTAGAGGGTTTTTTGTTCTTTTTAAAAAATAAAGTTATCTCTCTAAACCTGAAGCTAACCATTTCCATAATCTTAGCTATTCAGGAGTCTGAGATCTGAGGATCGCAGTTTGAAGCCAACCTGTGTAGGAAAGTCTGGTAAGGTTCTTTTCTCCAAAAACCTACAAGTGGAGCTGTGGCTGGAATGGTAGAGTACTAACTTCTAGCAGCAAAAACTAAGAGACAGCTCCAGGCCCTGAGTTCAAGCCCCAAGATGACACAAGCACACACACACACACACACACACACACACGTACACACATTCTGTCTCCACATACTAGAAGTCATTCAGCCTCTTTTGCAATGTACAAATAGTCACAACCTTATTCAAGGTTGTAGCCTTATTCCTGCTTTACCCCTTAAGGTAAAAGTGATCATTGTTTTTGGTCAGGAAAGCACCTTGAAGGCAAAAGCATCTGTGATTATTCTGAAAACTCCTCTTGATCTTCCATAATAGCAATATTCCAGATGAGCAAGGCTCAAAATCTTATAAACAAGCGTGAAAGAATGTCCTTTGTCCAAGGGCCAGGTATTGGAAATACCACCCACTCAGTTGGCATAGCTCACCAGGTCAGCTTTGTGAAACCAGACACCCTGACTTCACTGTGATCTTCCTCTGTCTACACCCTGGCTCCAGCTCCTTGGCCATAGACATACAATTACTAAAGATTATTATTGCTTGATAATAACTGTAATTATGACAAAGACTGCCCAAAACTAGGAGGGAAGAGAAGAAATCTAATTGTCCTATGAATACGTTTGCATCAGGAAAAAAGCCTGAATACACACACACACACACACACACACACACACACACACACACACACACACACCTCCTGTCTGTCCCCTCATTAACTGGCAACATACAAATACAAGCCTAAAACAAATCATCATGCTGGAGACTTGACAGAGGGGGTTCAGGAACCGAGATGCAAACGAGATGCAAAGTCCTCCTGCGTTCCTAGAGAGAACCCGGAAGCACAGCGCGGGTCCCGGAAGACGGCGAGCTGACGTACTTCCGGCCTTTGTGACTCATTGTGTCTGTATCGAGGCGTCCGGAGGGCCTAGGTCCGTGTGTGGTGCCCGGTGCCCGGCCTGAGCCCCCGCACTCAGCTCCCCATTCTCGCCCGGCGCCCTCTGGCCGCTCTCGGGGCACACGGTGAGATTTGGGCCGGCCTCGGGGGAGGGCGGGCGGGCCGCAGGGGTGTGTGCGTGAGGGCGGGCCCCGCAGCTGCGGCCCGGGGGACCTCTGCGGGCGACCCCGGCCGAGTGCCAAGGGACCCCCGGCTCCCCTGCCGGCCCGGCCCGCCGCGAGGAGCGAGGTCGCCCAGGAAGACGCCCCGGACCCGGCGGGGAGGAGCGAGGGGGCCCGGGGTGCTCCGAGCCCCGTGGAGAAGTCGGGGTGCGGGTCCCTTCCAGACCCAGAGCCCGCGATGTCGTCATCGGGCCCCAGGCAGGCCCGTGATGTCATCGTCGTCGTTTGACGTTTGTGAGAACTGACCCCTGTCTGGATTTTTATCTTTTTATTTTTATTTTTTTGCTGTCTCTTTGTCGCCATTTGCTTTTGATCCTGGTGAGGTTTGGAGGTTTTGTGTTTGTTCTTCTTTCTCGTGTTTTGTTTTGGTTGTAAATGGGCTTACTTTTTTTTTTCCTTCTGGATCCTTGAGGAACTTGAGATGGAAAATGCGTCTTGATTTTGGGGTGCATACATTTTCCCTCCACTCCCCACTAAGCGGTGATTTAAAATAATTTTGAAGCTAGGTCATGGGTGGATTGAGATCCACTATAGGGATTATAGACACCCACTTTTCCTTTAGTTTCGTGAAAGGTTTTGAAAGCCATTTTTTTTCCTCTTTTTTAATCTCTTTTAAATGAGCTGTCTGGGCAAGTACATGGATTTTTCTGTCCACTATGCTTGGAGTGGAATGAGGAGTAAAGGGAATTTGTGAAACTTGCACTGGACCAATAGGAGACTTAGTGACCTTGAATAAGACATATTTACCAACTGTCAGTTTCATTATATATATCAGCTATTAAAAAAAATCTCTCCCAATTTTGAAATGCTTGGATATGGTCAATGCAATTGGGAGGAAGAAAACAAATCTACAGTTTGGCCTAACACTCCCCCTTCCCTCCCTGCCCTTTCCTGCTATGCTTTCAGTACACAAAAAGACACTTGTCATTACAGAGAGTGGCTGTTCCATGGCCCAGGACCAAAGAAAGCATTTATTGTACCCGCCGGTGTTAGGCGGATTGGTGGTGTTCAATAAATACTTGTTGAATTGTGGAGAATTCATTTTAACCACATCATGAAAGCCCTATTAACTGTATACATGCCCAAATGTAGAGAGATAGCTTTATAATTTATTACATAGTGAGCCATAATAAAGATTTGCTGTGTGATGTTTCTCCGTTCTGAATTACAAGGCAGGATTCTTGTTTATTATTTCAGGCAGTTTTCACCCATCTTAAAATAGAAACAGGGAAGCCTCCCTCTTTAGGAGAGCTAAGTAGCTAAAGTTACCTTTGTTTGTGTGTGCCAGTCCGGGGGCTTGAAATCAGGGCCTGGGTACTCAGGCCTGAGCCTTTTGTTCAAGCACTCTACCACTTCAGTTCCACTTCTGGCTTTTTGGTGCTTAATTGGAGATAAGAGTCCCATGGGCTTTCCTGTCTGGGCTGTCACTGAACCTTCATCTTCAGATCTCAGCCTTCTGAGTAGCTAGGGTTAAGGCTAAAACTTTTAGTGTGTTTTATGTTGCATCTAATTACAAGGAGTCTAATATGCTGAATTTTTCCATTCTCTGGTAATGTCAGTATTCTCTGGGTAACTAGGTGTGTGTGTGTGTGTGTGTGTGTGTGTGTGTGTGTGTGTGTGTGTGTTTCTAAGGGTAGAACTCAGAGCCTTCCTCCCCTTTGCTAGATGGACTCTACCACTTGAGTCACGTCTCCAGTACTTTTTGCTGTAGGGTGTTTGTTTTTGTGAGACAGTACTCTAACTCTAGGCCTCTCCTTCTCCTCCATAGCTATTGACTCAAAGCTGGTGCACTACCATCTCCAACTGTTTGCTGGTTAATTGGAGTTAAGTTTCCTGGATTTGTTTGTGGAGGCTTCCAACTTGGTCCTCAGATCTCAGCCTCTGAGTAGCTAGCTAGGTACCAGCACCCAACTCTTCTGCTTTAATTATTTTTAGTAGGGTCTCAAATTTTTTGCCGCAACTTTGCTGCACTGCAGTTTCACTTTTCCTGCCCAGGCTGGTTTGAACCATGATTCTCAGATCTCAGCCTCCTGAGTAGTAGGATTGCAGGCTTGAGCCACTGGCGCCTGGTTTGTCTGTCTTTCAAGGGTAGCTTTTTTTTTTTGTTTTGGTCGGTCGTGGGGCTTGAACTCTGGGCTTGGGCGCTGTCCCTGCACTCTTCAGCTCAAGGCCAGTGCTTTACTGCTGGAGCCACAGCGCCACTTCCAGTTTTCTAGTGGTTTATTGGAGATAAGAGTCTCAAGGAGTTTCTTGCCCCAGCTGGCTTTGAACTGCAATCCTCAGATCTCAGCCTCCTGAGTAGCTAGGATTACAGGTGTGAGCC